GCACAGCAAATTCTGCTCTTGTTTTGGCTAACAAAAAATTCTAGTGCAATATGAATTGAAAATGTTTGCTACTGTATGTGATAATATCTTGGTCTGGTTAAATATAAAAGAGCTGAATATTCTCTGCAGCATTTGTTCCACTCAGGAAATCTTTGTTGCATCACCATTCCCCACTCCCACCATCACCACCACCGTTAGTACCCTGATGGCTAAGAACACAGGTTTTTTGGGGTTTTTCCCCCAAAGCTTTAGAATCCCTTAATTATGCACTCATTTCTTAAATGCTATCTCCCTTGATTTCTTCCTTCTATTTCTGGTATATGAAATGTCTGAGGGACCTAGACCAGGTAGAAGGTCACACCAGATCAAGTCCTAATCCAAACTCAACACTCAAGAGACATTAGGGAAATGGAATGAAATGGAAAATAAAATAAACACTAATATGGCTGATAATTTTAAGTAATTTATCCAGTGGATTTAATCATCTTTTCTACTCCTTCCTTGAGGGTCATTCATTGGAGAAGTTTTGTTCTGGAACTATTTTACTTCCCTTGCGGTTGCCCTGCCTGTTGTCAAGCCACATTTCCTGTCTTTGATTCCCTTTTAGAATTATGTATACTAGGCTGACCAGGTATAACCAGTGAGGTCGAGCCGAGGTCAAAACCTCAGACAGCCTAGGATCCATTCCTGCGCTACCACTTACTAGCTGTATAAATTCTCACCAAGATACTTAACTTTAGCATCATGCTTTGTTAAAAGGAATAAGATGAGGTAATTTGTGTAAGGCATTTAGCATTGTGACTGGCTTACATTAATAAAAAATAATAATTGCTACTAATTCTCAGTTTAGTTCTCCTTTAATTAGATTTATAGTCACATCCAACCCTATATATAATAGAGCGATGTTCCCTAGACTATTTGTGGTGAAGGATAGTATTTTTTTAAATTTTCCAATCTTTTGCAGAGATATACTTTCAGAAAATATAATCAAATTAAGTTACTGGAAAATATTTTAAGTACAAAATAAAAGTCCAGAGTTTTTATTTTTATATTCAACAGTTAGTAAAAATATTTTGTCAAATTGCTATAGAAGTCTATAAGTGTTTTTTGCCCAGTTTTGTACTTGTTTCATTGCAGACCAGAAATAAATAATTTGTAGATAGGTACCAGTTTGTGGATCATGCTTTAGGTATTACTATGATGTGGACTGTGTAGTAGACTTTATTATTTACCTTTTGAATGAGGTAACCTCATTTCTAAGATGTTCAAATGCTTACTGGTATTATCATGGTTAGTATATATATATATATATAAATTTGGCTTTATGTAATATGTGTGCTGTAACAAAACTACACGTCACTAACTAAATCTGAAAAATCCTTAAAATAAAGGATGAAGTAATGCCAACGCTCTGACTTCGAGACATTACTAATCTCTGATGAAGCCTCTGACTATTTCTTAGACCAAGAAACTCTTTGCATATTACAGTATGCAACTGCTATTATCATGACATTATTCACTCTGATTGTTCAGAAAATTATTAAAAAGTCATGGCAGCACTTCTCCTGGGTTTCATCACATACATCCAGTCTGATTCCTTTCGCATAAAGCACTATCAGTTTTATGTTTCTCTTTTAGGCAAAGTTATATACAATTGACCCTACACATGTTGGAGAAGTCTTCTGTTGAGGCGCTGATGTACGACAAAACACCAGAACACATTTGATCTAAGAGCTCAGTTTTTAATCACGAGACGCCCCACCATGACATCCTCGTCCCATTCCAACCTTTCCCTGGGAAATGTAAGACTGCAGTGAGTTAGAGGGATGGTTGGCAACAGAGGGTAGCCAACTCAGTTTCTGTTTTGTTCAGCGTTTCTTTAATTGATCAACGGGGCGGGGGGGAAAGGAACGTACAGCTTGGGTAAAGAGGAGAAGAGATTCATTTTGAGTACTCCTATGTATTCTTGTTTCTTGTTTTTTTAAACTCTTTTAATAATATACTTTTTCCCCCTTAACAATTATATCCTAAGACATGTGACACTTTTGCCAAGATGACAGCATGTCATTCATTATTACTATTTTCCATCTGTGTTTGTTTTCATATGTAGTTACATGTAGATAAAGAGCAGCTGTATAAGGTACAGTTTTAACTGAATAATAATTCAGTTGAATTAATTATCTGTATCGGTTATCAATTCCTTAATGACACCATGTAGCAAACAATGAGTGCTGAAGCGGCCTATAGCAGTTAAGTGTATTAATGCTTGTGCATCTGGAGTCATATGGAGATCGGCTAGGTGGCTCTGTAGATCTTGGTAGGACTTGATCACCTGTCTGGAAATAGACTAGTTTAGGTTGGGCAACTTGGCTGTGTTCCACGTGTGTCTCTTCTCCGGCAGGCTAGCCCAGGGGTGCTCTCAGGGCAGTGGATGAGGCTGAGAAGACAAACCCACTTGTACAAGTGCTTGTCAAGCCTCTGCCTCCTTCACCTTAGCTCATAGTGGGAAGACAAGTCACATTACATGCAAGAGAGCTTTGATCCAGGGAGGGTGAAGAATTCAGGCCATTTTTTGCAATTGATCACATATCTAAAAAAGTGCATCTCTTCAATTGAATGATAAGTGAGTAGGAATAGTTAAATTATTCATCTTGATGAAAATAAATGTACTTGGGCAAGTTAGTTAAACCCTCTGGGCTCAGTTTCTTCATTTCTAAAATGGGGATAATAATAGTACCAATCTCACAGGATTATAGTGCGGAATAATTAGTTGATTAGGTAAATGTGTAGAACAGTGCTTGGTATAGACGTATGCAGTTTGACTGTTAGCTGTAGTTATTAACATTATTATTATTACCATTATCATCATTATTATTATTTTGAGGCATCACTGTTAAGCACTGACAAATTGTAAGAATGGTATGTGGTTGTATTAATACTTTCTTAAGCATATTTATTTTGTGATTTTTTTTGCTAATATTTATAGCACTGATACCATCTGTTCATGTTACAAGCATTATTATTTTAGGAATTACACATGTCTATATTCTAGAGAAAACAGATTTAACATTATAGAACTAGTTGGCACATGTTTTAATTATAATCTTAAAGCTTCTTATTTAAAGATATACTGCAAGTACTTTATATTTTTGCTTCCATTTCCTTGCTTTAATAAATTTTATACTAATCTTAAGATGGTAGAAAGCTTATGAATAATGCCAATTTATTTGATATTTACTAAAATTTTGTGATCATATATTGATATTAATTTGTTCTGTATGGTAACAGGAACATATACCAATGCTTCCCAAGCTCTCATATGCATAGGAATCACCTGGGGTCTTGTTAAAATGCAAATTTTGATTCTATAGGTCAGCCCTGGGGACTGGAAATCTGCATTTCTAACAACTTCCCAGGTGAAGAAGCTGCTATTGATCCCTGAATACCACGTTTTAAGTAGCAATGATATATTTAAGATTATATATGTATGTATAATATATATATAAATATATATATTTACATTAAATAAATAAAATAATTAAATTACTTAATATGAATCATTATAACAAATAAAAGTTGTTCTTGCCACAATTGTTTAAAAGCATAATGTCATAAAAAGAAAATACATATTAAATATAACATAATAAATTAAAATATAATATTTAGTAAATGAAATAATATGTCTAAAGCTATATATATCAGACATCTCTAAATGTCAAATAAGGTCTTTACTGGCAAAACAAAGCCTTCATTTACAATTTTGTTTCCCCAGAAACTAAGTAACAGCTTCTGGTCCTATAAATATAGGGACTTGTGGAGACTGTTTTGTTGGTGGGAATATACTCAAAATCACTGGGTCCTATAATCAAATAAAAGCTGCCTCTTAAACATGTAAAAAATTATACTTTTTTTCTCCCTGTGGGCATTAGTCACAGCCTGATACTGTACATATTTGATTATGTAGAATTTCAGATAAATAAAATGCATTAGTCAACTAAATTTTCTACGTTTGAGCGTTAACTACAAATTATTTTTTGTTTCAAAATTCATGACTATAAAATCTTCTAAAAGGTCAGAATATTCTTCCCTTTATATGTAATCTTAAGAGTGTTCTGTATTTCTTTTTTAAAAAACTGGGTAGTGTCAGAACAGTATCATTAAAGGATATAATTAATTTTATTTATTTTTTTAAATACTTATTTGTTTGTTTGTTTGCTTTGGCTGCACTGGGTCCCAGTTGTGGCAGACTCATAGTTAGAATATAAATTTGTCTGGAATGCTTCTTTTTATGTTTTCCCTTCGAAACGGTGGTGGTGCTGGTACTAGGCAAACCTGTAGATATTAACCAAACATAATTTTCATATAGTTGTAGATAAAAACAAGAGAGATGTAGCAACTAAATGGAGTTTGTGGACTACTACATAGCTAACTACTTTTACAGGAAGCCCAGGCTCATAACACACCGTAAAGGCTTTTCCAGGGATGAAACTCTGATGAAAATGCTGATTCAAATTGTATGCATTTGTATACATGAACATAAGTGCAATCCAAGCTTAATTTGGGAATATCTGAAACTAGATTAACAACCTTAGATCAGAGTTGGCAAAATTTTTTAGCAAAGGACCGTACAGTCAATACCACAGTTTTTGCAGGTCATACAATCTCAACAACTCTCCTCTGCACTTTGTAGCATGAATTTGGCCATGGATTGTAGTTTGGGTTAGATTCTCAAGGTCACTGTTAGCTATTAGGTTATGATTATGCCGAATTATCTGGGTTGATGGCTTATTTATTGGTTACAAATTATGGAACATGGGTCCTCTATTCTCTCCACCCCTCCTCTCATCCTAAACTGAGAAGCCCTGCTTGGTGCATGCAAATGGCCCATCACAGTATTTTCTTAAACAAAGACATTTCCCTCAGAAGAGGAATTCTGCTGCTACTGTTAAGATAATAAGTACACCACAGATGGTCCTTTCATTTCAAAACAACCACAACATAAAAGGAGATATGAAATTTTTGTTTAATTGTTGTGTTTTTCTATTCTGTTATTTGATGATTTAGTTTGGCAAAGTTACAAACTAATATTTAAGCTTCTGCTGGAACTCAACTGCTGTTGATTTCTGTTGTGATGGTGTTGGTGGCTCTAAGTATAGGCTGGGCAAGAAGAGAAAAAGACACATCAAACTCCTTATCTATTTCATTTTGGCAGTTTCAAAGAGTTTATATTTGAGCTTAAATTTAAATAAGTCTTCTCATATTATCACTGCCAGTTTTAGAATGTTTCACTGGCACAGTCGTGGTATGACTCAAATAGATAAATACCATCAGTTAGGTTAGGGCTGCGTTGATAAGCCACCTGGGGTTCCTTCTTTCTTTAGTACTTTTCTTGCCACTCTACATTGGAGGTCTCACACTGGGTGCTCAGAGGTCCACCTCAGACCATTGGTCCGTGCTACACTGAAAAACAAGAACAGAGAAATAGCCGCCACCATACAAAGGAGATTTTTATCCAGAAATCTGGATTTTTTACTTCCTTTGAAAAACCAGGAAGAAACTTCGCAGATCTAAGGTTTTTATTTTCCCATGAGAACCGTCATCCTTTCTGCCATTCTGTCCATCCCCTCAGCTCTGAGCCTGAGTAAGGGGCATTTATCCTCACATGGTGCTGTGTTGGGCTGCAGCCTGCAGGCCTACAAGCCTTGTACTTGCTCGGCTTCTAGACCTAGGAAAGAGCCCGGAGTCAGTGATAGAGAAATCAATGGTTTAATGGACAGGGGGAATCTTACACCTCTGAAGCAAGATCCTGGAGCGACACCCCACGGTGTTTGGCAGATGGCAGGCAGGAAGGGCAGCAGTCTTTGCCCCCTGGGGGGAGGGGGAGGTTACCAGTTATAGGGGGAATTGACATTCGGTTGGCTCATCTGTTACCAGGGAAACTAGCAGAGGGGCATGTCCCTCCCCGCCCCTTTGATAAGCTATCAGGGCGGAGATGTTCTGATCTAAAGATTAGAACAGTCACTAGCTGGGACAGGGGCAAGTATGTAGGAAGGTCAGTCAGGTACGTAGGGTGTAGGTGAAGCAGGCCCTGGTCCAGCGGGGAATGTCCTGAGAGCAGGAAAGCAGGCATCTTGGGGGGCCTGATCATAGAGGCTAGGTGCTCTGATGACGCCAGCCTGCTTCACTCTCGTATCTGCCTGATCAGTATAGGCATTTTGAGTTTGTGGCTCCAGCCACAAAGCTGATCTCTGGGGATCTCATCAATTACACTTTTTTTTTTTTTTTTTTTGCGGTACGCGGGCCTCTCACTGTTGTGGCCTCTCCCGTTGCGGAGCACAGGCTCCGGACGCGCAGGCTCAGCGGCCACGGCTCACGGGCCCAGCCGCTCCGCGGCATGTGGGATCTTCCCGGACCGGGGCACGAACCCGTGTCCCCTGCATCGGCAGGCGGACTCTCAACCACTGCGCCACCAGGGAAGCCCATCAATTACAATTTTTTCCAATCCTACCTATGGGACTATTCACTTCATCTATCCCTCTAAAGCATATTGTAGGATTCAAACACAAAACTATGACTCTATTAATTGTACAGTTACTATCAAGAGCATTTTTGCTTGGGTTATGTGTGTTATGTTTTCTTTATTTGGTCAAAGTCACGTTTTCCTTGCAAGGAAATACCTTGTAGAAGTTAGTACCAAGAAAAAGAAAAGATTTTCTCTGTTTAATAATTTGTATTACATAAAGCCTTTCTCTTTTTGTCTCAGCTACCAGGAAGTTCAGAACTCAGTTTAATAATGTGTCATAATTCTGGTGGTATTTCTCTCCTTATTTTGTGTGCCCTTGATTATTAAATTAATTACTAACATGAATACACAATTGCACATGTCCTACAAACAGTTTTCAAGTCCATTTTGCAGGAGATTGGGCTTCAACACATTAGTACATAATGTGTTACTAACTTCTCAAACCATCCTCCACAAAGACAACAGCATATAAAACACTAATCAGACTATATTATCATTCCCTTGCTTATTCGAGAACTCTGCATATCTACCCCTTGCTTATAATAAGAAGTCTAACCTGTTTATCAGAGTGCCCAAGACCCCTTATTACATTTCTGTAACCTAGCACATCATTCTGCACTTCAGTCCTCACAGAGTCCCAGTAATGGACTAATGGTAGTTTTCCAAATGTACCATGGCATTGCCCACATCTTGTCCTTCACAGTACCATTTACCCCACGTATAGTCCCTCTAGGAAGGTAAGTTTACCACAGCAAATATTGCATTGTACTAGCATTTTTAAGCACAAAAATTTTAATAAAATTCTTCCAGGAAGAATCCTGTTCATTTCGGTACATCTGAGGCTGAGCCCAACAGTTCATACAAAATTGTTCTCACAGACTAATCATGTAACTAAATTTTGGTTTGCAGAATTGTTGATAGAATTGGAATAACTGATACAGGTTTATTTTTGACTATAAATAATGGAAAACCTTTTTAGAATAAATATTGAGTGCTTACTATATGCCAGGTCCTCTTCTAAATATGTAACGTGTTATTGATTCACTCAATTCTCCCAACCACCGTATTATCCTATGATTTTTGTTCCCATTTTAGAGATGAGGAAACTGAAGCCCAGGGATTAAGTAATTTTCCCAAGGACTCACAGCCAGGAAGGAGTGGGGTCAGGGTTGACCCCAGGAGGTCTGTTTCCACAGATGACATTCATAGTCACCCTGTCTCCCATTTGCAGATTGAAAGTCTATTTGTCCCTTATGACAGCAAATAAGTAGTAACCAATCTCAACTTCCATTAGTCCTACCAGTTCTCATGAGAATGATGGGATTATTTTGAACTCCAATATTTCATGAGCAGATTGTATTCTTGAAATGTCTAGAGAAGTCTAGCAGAAAGCATTAGACAGTAGTAACTTTGAATGTAGTGTGTATGCATGTAAGTATGTGTATGCACATTAATTATTTAACCAAGAATAAAGAAGGGTGAAAAAGTACCAGCCAGTCTCCACCATCACAATCACCTGAAGGCAGTGGCTCTCACTGTGGAAGACAGAATCACCTCCCTCTGAAGTTACTGGCACAGCTTGTAGAAAGGGGATGTGTTATTGACTTGCTTGGAGTCTTAAGATGCAAACATTTGATTTAAAACGACTTAGTGACAGAGACATACCTAACGACTTCTTCCACATCAAGCGTCTTCATTCTCATTCGTATTCAACTTAGTCAATTTAGAGTAGAGACAATACACTTCTAATTGCTGATGGTAAGGCAAGCAGCATCCTCCATGTTTCGTACATTATGGCAGTGGGGATCAATTCAATATAAGGAAGGGTTGATCACCCTATGGACCTGCATTTCCAAAGCTGGAGGCCTTCCTGTCTCGAGATTAAGGTCAGTCTTCAATGGTCCTCTTAATAAGGTAAGGCTCTGGGCAGAGACCTGATATCTCAGTCAGCAGGTGCCAGCTCCTCTCCCCACTGAGTGACTTACTGGGTCAGCCTTTACCATACCCACTCCCAGTTGATTCTAAGACCGGTTTTAACTAGTATTAATAAATAATATGCTTAGCTGCCTTGGTTTGTCTCAATAAAAAGACAAAGGACGTGCCAAAGTCTAATCTGTTTGTCCTAGAAGGTACACGTTCAACCAATATCTTATATTTATTAGTCTTAGAACATTCCGTTTTATTTTCCTCACCACAAATGTATGAACACAGACCCTTTTATCAGTCTTTCCTCTGAAGCAGGGCCTGGAAACTGACTCACCGAGACTATCATTTATTAGAGAACTAATAGGAGGATATTTGGAGAAATAAAACTTTGCGGAAGACCGGAATATTTATTTGGATGGTATCTAATTCAAACCTGAGGTAGCATCATCTCGAAGAAATGAAGGTCTACATAAATTCCTTTGGGAGGGGGCTAAACCTGTCTTCTGGCTGTTTTAATCTCATCAAATTAATAACTGGAACTATCATCTTTGTCATTAAAAAGCACCTGCCATTAACAAAACCTGTTCCCCTTGGAAAACAATTTAACTTTCAGTGAATTAAAGTTATGGGGCACTCTCAATAAATTGCATCCTGCAATTAACACTCTCATGGGACATACTGAAAGAACATTTCTACAGACAATAATGTCACATTCCTTATTATGGCTAACATAACTTTAACTCTTAAAGGTTTTAAATTTTTAGACCCTAAAGGATATGTTTTTCAGAATGTGTATAGAAAATAACTTTTTTAAAAGAAAAACAAAAGTTACTATTTTCTGTAGTCATAAAAATCTATTAAGGTGAAAAAAAAATTAACTACCTGATATTTTTAAAAAGATAATGACAATAAAGCTCTGTTTTGCATCTGTATTTCATAAATATGGAAGAGCACAGTGTTGAGCCTATTTAAAATAGCCACAAAAACTAGTTAAGTGACTTCCATGGTCTGTAACTAGGAAGGCTGAATTTTAAAATTATTTTTCACAGAGGTCTATCTGAAATGCCTTTGTAGGTTAAATTTTAGAAGTATGTAAAACTCATCTATGAATATTTGTGTTATTAATGATAATCATAAGGTAGCAAGCTTTGTGTTATTCATCAATCAGTGTAGATAATGGCTTTGAGAGTCATGTTAACTCATTGTACTCGTTCCAAAATTTCTTTTTTTTTTTTTTTGTCTGCGTTGGGTCTTCATTGCTGCGCTCGGGCTTTCTCTAGTTGCAGCGAGTGGGGTCTTCTCTTTGTTGTGGTGTTCGGGCTTCTCGTTGCGGTGGCTTCTCTTGTTGCGGAGCACGGGCTGTAGGCGCGTGGGCTTCAGTAGTTGTGGCACGTGGGCTCACAGGCTCTAGAGCGCAGGCTCAGTAGTTGTAGCGCACGGGCTTTGTTGCTCCGCAGCATGTGGGATCTTCCCGGACCAGGGATCAAACCCGCGTCCCCTGCATTGGCAGGTGGATTCTTAACCACTGCACCACCAGGGAAGCCCTTCAAAAATTTTACTCAGGGCAGCTGTTGATGATTCTCTTCAAGAGTTCCAGGGGGACTCTGAACCATGGATTAGGTCGTGATTTTCAGCTCCTGTCACTGTGACCAGCTAACATGACACCTGGCCTCTGCTCCAGGGGCTAGTTTGTATGCCAGCTGATTGTCAGGGGCTTAGTTTGAGGTGTCAGCTTGTCTCTTTGTAGGTAAAATGTATCACCCTGTAATATCAGTGACCTAGGGAACTTAACTGGCAACAGGGTATCATGTAATTATTCCTATGGAAATATTGAAAGTAGGCTATACCTTACACGTATATTTTATTTTGTTTAGTTTGTTGTGAATACAGGATGCTACTTTATCCTGTTGTTTCTGTTTATACTCTGGTTGAATTGTATTCTGTTCAACTGAAATTTTTTTGAGTTTGCTCCTGTATTCTAATTTCTAATTAAAGGACATCCATACTTTTGCCTATACACACACACACACACACACATATGTATATGTGTGTGTGTGTGTATATATATATTCCCGAAAGTAGCAACAACTTCTCTATTCATTGTATGTTGATAAATGTATATGGACAATTAATACCCGCAGGAAGAGGTACATCTGGCCATCCCTGCCCAAGGGCTGACTCGTTGGCCATCGTGGGCAAGTTTATGGAAGAAGGAAGAGGAAGCATGAGGAAGCTCCCATTCCTTCCTCTAACTTTAATTTCTTCCTTTTTTCTCAACAGGAACTTTTTACCCCTGAATGCAAGTTTAAAGAATCTGTTTTTGAAAACTATTATGTAATCTACTCATCGATGCTGTACAGACAACAGGAATCTGGTAGAGCCTGGTTTTTGGGATTGAACAAGGAAGGGCAAGTTATGAAAGGAAACAGAGTAAAGAAAACCAAGGCAGCAGCTCATTTCCTACCCAAGCCATTGGAAGGTGAGTGTTATGGGTGTTTTATCCTTATCAGATTTATCACACATTTATCTTTCACACTGATGACTCTACCATGGCCACAGGGAGCCCTCATGGGACGCTGGAAATGTTCTTTATCTTGATCTCAGTGGTGATTCACGGGTGTCTTCATAAGCTGTGCATCTAAGATTTGTACACTTTACTGTATATATGTATATGTGTGTATATTATGTATATATATATATATATATACACGCATATATTCCATTAATTTAAATGTGTCTGTACTCATTTCTCATGTCTCAGATCCTCACTACCCCAACCTCTCTAGCCCCTAAATAATTTTAATTAATTTAAGAAATTTAAAATCTGCAATGACATTATAAAGCTGTGACTATGACAGTAGGTATACTAGAAAAACTAAGTTTTGAGTATTATGGAATGTTTGAGTATTTGCCCATTTTGCTGTTATCTAGCTGAAAGTAACCACATATTTGTGAATTAGTATAATTATAGGAAATATAAAGAGTTAATAAGTTGGCCTTTAAAGAACTTGTTGATATTAGATGTCTCCCTTCCAAGCTGCATAATTGTTTAGTAAATTCAAATGTGGCTTGACCTTCTTTTACACTCAGCTGTAAACAATGAAGCCGTCAGATTTACTTTGATTGGATTTCTGGAGAGGAGGCTACAAAATTTTAATTAATCAGAAACATCTGCACATTTCTCATTAAGGATTCTACCGGAATTTTATCTGTGTAACATTTGTTTGGGAACTACTAAAAGAAACTGATATTGAGGCTTTTCAAAAGTGTTTTTCTATTCAAATGCTTTTGTTTACCTTTTGCAGAAAATCAGACCTGCAATAACTAAGTAAACGTTTGAAGCCAGCTTACACGGTTCGATTTTTCTTTTTGTTTCTTATTCCTACAGGAAAGCATTAGCCATCAAGAGAAACGCATATTGGTTTTATAATCCATATTGTCTTTATAGGAATAAGATAATTTGAAATATTGGAAGTTAATTATCTGTGGATATATAATTCAGCTTTCAGTTTGCCTAGGTTTGGAAAACCAGTCTTGTTGGTTAATACCATCTTTATAATGTCAGTGATATTGACTATATCACTCTTAACTAAATTTGCCTCTACAACGAGTCATTGAAACGCAAACAGTTAGCCACCAGGGCCTATCTAGGAAAGGAAAAATTATTTCAGTCTGAAATATGAGTGAATTATTCTCATTCTACGACAGATCATAAGGAAAATGAGAAAAAAAATAAGAAATTAGAGGGTTCTTCCAAAATAACGTATCCATGATTTGGCTTTACCACTTCAAGTGAACTTTGAGACCGTCAGATATTCAAATGCGAGTGAAAAAAATTTAAAAACTAAGTCCATAGCAACTCTACAAAAATCAGGCAAAATCTGGAAACCAGCTATTTAGTATATCCAGCAGGAAATATCTGAGACCCTAAAGATATGGGGTAGTAATATCACTCTGCATTTTATTAATACACTGAACTGTTGTGTGTATATGTGTTTGTTGTGTGTTTATGTATACATGAAGAAGAGAGAAATAGAATTTTCAAAAAACTAGCAGACAGAAGTACTCTAAAGACAAGGGGGTATTATAAAGACAGGTTATCACATAGTGTAATTGATAAGGAAAATGAATTTCAAACTTTCAAAACCCATACAGGATGTAAATTATATCATTGGAATTGTTAGGGCAAATTAGATTCTGGATGAATTATTGGTGCTCTGGGGCCTTCATATTCCTTACACAGCTTCATGGCGTAGACGATCAAGATTAGCACTCTGATGCTGTTGTCGCCTAACTAAATGCCTAGTGGGAGTGAGGGACTGGAAAGTATGTCAAGGATATGGATTAATCTCTTAACCCTTTTCACTTGCTAAGTCCTTTATTATAGGTCCGATACGCATGTGCTTTCAAGTCTGTGTGCTGCTGAAAGGTCTCACGCTGCATTTGCAAAAGGTGAAATCCTATACCACCTTGAACATGGAGAATGCATACAGTGGTTCCTCCTAACAAAGCTTAAATTCTCTTCGTAAAATATAGGCTTTCAAAACCCTAAAAAGCAGGTTGGGCAGCTCTGATTCGCTTGTCTTTCTGATGGCAGATGATTTTAACTCAGTTTTCCCCAAGCATCAGTCACGCTGAAATCTCCTTTCCCAGGATTCCCTGGAATCACTTGCAGAAAAGCCACGTGAACTATTGTGATTAATGATATCACCAGATCAATTCCCCAGAGCTTCCTCAGACGTCATTCCCACTTGCCCTCTTGCCATTCTGTACTTCTGCCTTATATGACATCAATTACAGATTTTCATGATTATACCTGAAAATGAGGCATAAAAAATATAAAACACCCCACACTTGCCTTCAATTATTTAAGGGTCTCTTTGCATGATTTCGGGAGAGGAAATCTAAACAATGATCTCTGGAAGACCCTGGCTTAAGGAAAGTGAGTTGTCTGTATTGCTTTTATGGCTTTGAAGCTGGGAGTAGTGTGATTATATTGCCTTTGAAGCACTTGAGAGAAAAATTATTTAATGACCTAGGGGTGTAAATACCTAGAATGGAAAAGATGAGTGAGAATGAGTTCCACGTGTTGACAGCGTGCAGTGGAAGGAAAGTCTTTTTCTCGCTGAACAAAGAGAATTAGGTTAAATGCTTGCCGTTCTCACATAGTCCCTGTGAGGTGTGTGTGTGTGTGTGTGTGTGTGTGTGTGGCCACATCCCCCATTTAAACCTTCTCTCCTAGACAAAAATGCACGTGCCCCCAGGTGCGTATTTTGGATACACAAACCAGAAAATGCAAAGTAAGTAGTATTTTCTGTTTGGGGGCCGGATTTTACTGCTTTAAAACAGGAATTCCCTCTTGATGGGGTTACTTGACTTCAGGGAAAACGGGACTGGGCCAGCAGCTGAGGTCTGTGCGTGAAGCTAACCAGGTAACATCTCCTTTTCCTCCTGCCCTCCCCGTCACTAGTTGCCATGTACCGAGAACCATCTTTGCATGACGTCGGAGAAACGGTCCCAAAAGCCGGGGTGACGCCGAGTAAAAGCACAAGCGCATCTGCAATCATGAATGGAGGCAAACCAGTCAACAAAAGTAAGACGACATAGCCAGATCCTCACAGGTGTTGTGACTGACTCGCCCTGAGCACCGTTGAGTGATTTATCCTGGCCACACCCTCCTGTTCCGGGGCCCAGGAGCAGCTGGCAGTAAGCAGACGCTTACTTCCCGCTGGCTCGAACTTCTTGGTTGCAAGTGGATAAATCTCAACGTGTTGCGCCCTCACAACAAGAAGACACCTGGATAACCAGCTCAACTCAGACCATGGAATGCCCTACCAGATATGGAATGCCTTTTTAATATCTTTTCTGTGACTGTGACACTTCACGTGAATGACCTACTTCACAAGTCCACTCGATACCTTGCCTGCTGACAGCTACCCATATTCCTTTTTGAGTCCCGTTTCGGCGAATTCCATGTGTTTAAGTTCGATTTTGTAGCACACAGATACTCTTGAGTAATTTCTAGTTAGATGCTGTAAACCTGTGCTATTATGGAGTTCTCTTCTTCCCGTTTTTACAGGGCTGCTGGCTCCACTGTCTGTGACCTTTTGCAGGGATTGTGTTCCTCTCAATCGTAACTTGTAGCGGTTGGCTTAGTTTGGAGAGCGATCAGGGAAACAGAAAGCCTTCTAAACCTATTATGACACATTGCATCTATAAAGATTAAGAGTGTTGTCTCTGGCTCACACTACTGATGAAACACACATATATGCTCTGTCCAGTAGCAGATACTGTGCTCCCGAGGCCACGTGGCCGGGCTGAGAAATGGGGTCAAACGCAGTCATGGGAAGCGCTCTATGATCTGGGTTTGACATCCCCCTTAGTTTCTTTGTGTGTGTGTGTGTTTTATACATATCACAAGCTTACTGGTAATGGTAACATTTGCCTTGCCCAGCGAGCAAGACCCACTGGTTTTTGAGAAAGTGGGTCCAAAGAACTCTGTAGGCCTTGTAGGCCTGATTAAGGTTCATTTTCATCTATGAATCCTCATTATTTGGAAAAAAGGAAAAAAAAAATCAATAATTACAACCTACAAGAATTGCACTACCTAAATCCATTTCAGATAGAATCCTTCCTGTTTTTAATGAACCAAACTTAATGCCACCCCTGGTTTGGGCTGCATTCCACGCACACTCAGCAGAGCATGGGCAAGGCGGCTGTTGTGTTCTTTTCGCAGCAGCAATGCAAACGTTAGTTATAAATTAGACTTTAATATTTTTGGTGTTTAACAAGTTTTTAAACTGGACATATTAGGAAAAAAATATTTTTTTTAGCTCAGCATGCTGAGTCAGGTACTGTGTAATTCACCAGTCCATACCTCTGACTCAGCTTCTCGGGCCCCTGTGGCCCAATGGCTGAGTTAGAGGTGCCTTGCCATGATCTCAGAATGCAGTCTGTTGAATTATTCTAGATTAAAAACTAAAGACAAACCAACACGTTCAAACATCAACTTTTCGGTCCATGTGATTTGTTTTTTTTTTTTTTTGCTGTTCTTTGATTTTGCTTAACTTCCTTTGGAATTTAATACTGCTGAATTCTGAGCTTAGGGAAGACAACGACTAAGAAAGTCCATGAATAGTTGACTCCACAGTGAAGAAACCATGCAAAATGTTCAATATTGGATATAAAGAGTTTCAAAATGTTTGATACTAAGCTGTTTGGAAATATATTTGTTAACTCTGTGTATACTTAATAAATTTCAATGTTTTCTCCTCAGAAGAGTTAACTGAGACCAAACTGAACCTCATTTATAGAAAACTATACATGGGATCAATGTACTGGCCTCTTGTTATTATTTCCATGTGGAAGGATGACCCAGTCGCCATTTTCTCCCATCTGCATTGTATTTACTGGGAAATTATTTTGTCACTGCTTTCCTAAGTCTCCATGACAGCCCTTGCCCAGCATTTAAAAATTTTGGCCTGCTTAGCTGATTAAAGATTTACTATCAATTTAACTGTTTATGCTTATTTCATTTTCGTATTGAATTCCACTTTAATAAATAAAATGTTAGCATAACGTTTGAGTAGATTTATTGTCGATAGTGCTAAAGTACAAATACAACAAAATGCTTCTTTTGACCTCTCTTGATTTCTTGTTACGCCACTTTAAAGCCTATTATTTTTAACAGGCTAAGTTAAAATACATTAGATGAATTTCATTAACCAATTGTTTAGGGAAGACATATATTCCATAATATGTGGCAACATGAAATTCCAATTAGATGGACTTACCCTACTGTGCACAGGCACACACACACACACACACATCAAACAACCCCACCTATATGTTTTTGGTAATCAGCCCTACTTGCTGGTTTCTTTTTCCCCTGTAAGCTTGTTTATTGGTTAAAATTATGACAAGATTTATTTTTGTAAGTGACTGAGATTTCAGTAAATGTGTATCTCTGTTTTGTTTTTTACATGAGTTATCGATAAGGGCATTTATCCCTATGAATGGATGTCAAAATACTTTCTTCTAATATATGTTTAGACGTATTGCAGAGGGGTCCTTGTTATTTGTGATTTAGTTAGATCATTTCCTCTGTGTCTGGTCTGACCTGTTGCATGGAACGAGGACAGCACTGATGAACTGCATGTTGTAGGACCTGTGTATCAAGAACCATTGGTGTGTATTAATCTACATACAAAGAGTTTGTCTGCATTGTACAGTTTCTGTGTTGAATATCATTTGTTGTATTCATAAATACAACATATTGAATAAAATATTTATATGACGGCATATTCAAAAACATTGAACAACTTTATGTAATGAAATGGCATTGCATCACCCACAGATATAGAGAAATGTCATGTAAATAAGTTTGGTAAACTCATTTTCCCCCTTTACCATGCCAAAGAAAATTTTAGCTCTTTGATGATACCTCTCTTGCTATTTTTCCAGGATAAGACTCCACCATTTTCTCCCCTCAAGAATTGTTTGCTGTTTTAAGTAAGTGCAATCTGTCACCTTTGGTGTTCCGTACAGTAAATCTGATGGAATTCATTTGTATTTAGAGACCACCACGTGTTCTGTACCTCCATGTACATGTCGATCTTATCAACTCTTTCCAATATCACATTCCTTTTGCATCCATATCTGGTGTGAGAGGGTTATGTCTACTGATTTGTTATGGTAGCTGTTTCACTCATTCCTCAACAACGCTCTGGAATGTTCATTGTTTTGATATTTCAGGTGACATCATTTTATTTTCCTGTAAGTTTGCTTTCTCTAAAGTACTTTGCTACAACTTTACTTGGAAAAATTATAGAAGAGATGCAAATGGTTCAGCCTATATAAAGAGTAAAATGGAACTGAGCATCATGTCATTACAAATCTTGGAGAATTTAGAGATTCGTGCTCTAAATGTTCCCTTGCCCTGAGTGTTTGGGGTAAGGGCTGGCTTCAAGATGGGCCCACAAGACTCCTGCTGCAGTCTGTCTAATTGTTTGCCTCTTGGAGAGTAAGAAGAGTTTCTTTATCACACCTGGCCAGTTGCTTAATGAATGCCTAAAGCACTACAACAGTCCGCTGTTTTCAGGATGACCAACATCAGATTTGGTTCTTTTTTAAAAAACAAGAAAAAAACTTCTCTCTTTTTAAGTTAGACATGTATCACTTCATTTAAAGTTTTCTCCCTAATATTAGAGTGAGAATTAACATTTGAAGGAGAGACCAGATTGACTAAGAAATCCATTTTAGAAGGAATTGAAAATCATTAAAAATTATTTTCAATGTTATTTCAGAACAAGACTATACCCAGGGCAAGCTTTTGAGCTAAACGCAGGCATATCAAACTCCAGGTGTGAAGAGTATTACTTTGGAGTGAAATACATTTCATAGTGTAGCTCTCTTAGCTTACAAAGTGGCACACAGGGCCTGCTGACTCTCTCGAATACTGAGTAGGGTTTCAAAGGTTTGATAGTGAATCTGCAAACAAAGACTGAGTTATGTTTTTGTTTTTACCTGGTTTTCTCTATCATTTGGTCTAATTCCCACGTTGTGTTTGCATTTGAGGTCGTGGAGGCCATTCCTTCCAATGCGCGGTAGGAAATCTAGATTAGCTCAGAGTCCAGGAAGACAACAGTATATAGTGATTCTCTTAGATCTTAGGACATTAGTAGAATCTTATTAAAAAGTCCTTTATGGAAGAATTCCTCAGTGATGGTTAGCCAAGCAAGCAGGGTTGGTGCCAACACCATCTGCAAACTTGTCGCATCTTTCCCAGTTAACGTTAGTTAATCCCACCATAACTGCCGACCAACTTAAACAAGCCAACAAAATTTGCATATTTTCCCTCCACCTATTACAGGTTTGTTCTTGCCCTGCCTTTTATTTGAAGAGGGAGTTTTAATCTTAGTAATGGAATCAAAAGTCAAAGTACAAAATAACATTTAAGAAGGGTAGAATCTATGTCTTTACATGTAACTATGTTTATTTTATTTTTCTCCAACTTAAACATGTAAATTAAATCACTTCTTAATAGATCTATTGATGTTTCATTGCTAGAGACAAAACCACACATAAAAACACGCACAAGAACTGTTATAGCAGACAGAAAGAGGTAAAAAAAATTTCTGTTTTAAAAGAAAAATATTCATTAGAGTTTAGGTACCATGTGACTTATGCTATAATTCAGCTTTGGTTCAATAATTCATGGCTAAATGAACCACAGAATATAGCTGACTATAATAGATTTTGTCAAAAAATTTGGACAAATCACATTCTGAACTTTATAATAATTTCTCCATATTTAAACTTCTTAAAAAGCATAAATGCTGAGGACATTTTTCTTACATGAAAATATAAAAAGAGCAGCATTCTTGTTGCAGGGATAACAAATATAGAGAATGATAAGAAAAATAAGACACACCTAGGGTAACGTGATGAGACAGGAAACTAAGGGCCGTACCAGTAGAGCAGGATGGCAAACTACTGCTCAGCTGCAAGCCAAATACAGCTTGCAATCTGTTTCTTATGGCCCAGGAGCTCAGAATGAGGTTTTTATTTTTATTTTTTCCATTTTAAAGTATTAAACGTGAACAGACAAGAATCTTCTATAGAGATGTATGTGACCCACAGTCTAAAATATTTACTATCTGGTCCTTTATAGAAAGCAGGGTTCTGCAAGAGGGGAAACTGAAAGTCATTTGTATTATGATGGCTGGATAAGGTAATGAATTCCAATGTTTGTGCATCATCACATAAGGCATCAAAATTGCAACTGAACAATAACAGATTTGTTTGAGGCTTAAAGTGTTTAGATAGAGAAGAGGAAAGAGTACAATCTATCATTTCTTGACTCCTTATGGTCCCCTCATTTTATAAAAACTGATATATCAATTGACATACTTAATAATAGAGATAAAATTTACGTGGTTGCATTCCTTACTCTCAGGATAGAGATGACAATTTTATAAATCTCTTCAAGTATGAGAACACTATTAGTACTATAAAAATCAGCATCAGTTAAATTTTCTCTTAAATAACTTTCAATATCAAATTTTTAAGTAACTCAGCAGATACATATTTTCCTTATCTTTGGTGATCTGACTTAGAAAAGTCCAAGCCACGACTCTAGAATATTTACATCATCAAGTAAAATTTCCAAGCAAAAATTTTCATCTTAAACAATATGGAAATGATTTTGTTACACTATTCTAGAATTTTACAAAATATAAATCACATTTAGAAAAAAAGTGGGGTTTTTATTAGCTCTAAATAATTAAAGGTTGCCTAAACTAATGTGTATAAGTAGACTTAACTGTAAATATGTAAGGGAAGTCCAAATTATTGTACATTTTCATAATGCAATGTGAATTTCATACAGAGCAGAATTTCACCATTAAGAAAATAAACATTTTGTTCTTATTATTGAGTGAATATTTGTAATTTCTATTTCAGCCATTTCTGGATTTTTTTAAAATCCTCTGAGCTTTTGAGAATTTTTATTATAGTATCTCTTCTTCATTTCTTTGCATGTCCCTACTTTTCCAGTAAGTCATGTATCCTTATAAATAAGAATCTTTTAAGAGAAGTGAATGTGTATTTCAGGCCCATCATATATCTAACTATATGTTGTCTTTTTAAAAGGCAAGTTACCATGGAGTAAACTAAAAAAAAAATCGTATTTCTTGTATATGTAACCCTTGCCCAGTTTTTAAAAATGTTCTAGAAACAGAAAATAGATACCCCTGAATAAAAATTCATTTTTGGGGTTAATCCTCAGTAGGCAAATATATACTGACACAGAATATAAGCAACTTATGTCACCATTTATTAAAAATGTCAAATTTTGCATTTTTCATATCTTCCTTAATCTTAAGAGTTTTTTGGAGTGAGTTTAATTTTTTTAAAAGATTTTTTTTTTTGATGTGGACCATTTGTAAAGTGTTTATTGAAGTTGTTACAATATTGCTTCTGTTTTATGTTCTGGTTTTTCTTGTTTGGTTTTGTTTTGTTTTTTGGCCACGAGACGTGGGATCTTAGCTCCCCGACCAGGGATTGAACCTGCACCCCCTGCATTGGAAGGTGAAGTCTTAACCACTGGACCGCCAGGGAAGTCCCTTGTGTGAATTTAAAGTGGGACTAGACAAATGACAAATGACTTAATGGCTAAAACGACCAGTTTTTTGTTTTTTTTTCAAAAGCACTGGTTATGTAGTTTCTGCCTGCCCCCCAGCCCATGTGTGTTTGTATACCACATACCTCATGTCTCCATATGGAAATACTGGCAAAATATGGTCAATGGATTTATGTGAGGATATATCTTCTCCTTAGACTCCAATATGGTCTTTCTTGTATAGGGGTGTGCATTTCTAACAACCGTGTAACTCAGGGTTTCTCAGCTCAGGCACCATTGATACTTGAAGTCAGATAATTCTTTGCTGTGGAAGGTTGTCCTGCACCAGAAGATGTTTGCAGCATCCCTGGCCTCCACCCACTAGATGCCCACAGCACGCCCTCCCACCCCACCCAGTGGGACAATGAAAATTGTCTGTAGACATTGCCAAATGTCTTCTGGGTGGTAAAGTTGCCCTTGTTGAGAACCACTGATGTAAATTAAGGTAGAAAAAAATTTTTCTGGCGTTATTTACATCAGAATTTGCTTAACTCATCTTTAATGGGTACCCAGATTTCACTGAGGCATTCAGAAATAGAAAAACATACAATGGTCTGTTTGACCTGTCCTAGTGATGATTATATATGGTTCCCTCTGCATTTATATGTTCTAATGGCCTAGAAAAATAAGAATCCAGTTCTCTGCCATGGATTATTAAGGATATTCTGTGCCGAGCCAGATTTCACATGCATTTCCGTTCCATCCATCCCAGCATTCACAGTTTCCACAGCTACAGATTCCATTCCCTGCAATAAAGTACACAGGGGAGTCATTATCATGATCGAAAGTCACCAAGTTAAAATACGTTATTCTAAACCACAGCAGTTCATAATCAAGACCATTTCATTCATCCTCTGCAGATCTTCTTATTCGGTTCTGTAGCCATCTTATCATTATCTTGTTTAGCAGCGATGGGAAATGTGATTTTTCACATAATTAATGGCATCTGCTTGATGCCACCATCTGTGTATCATCTAATAGTGACCATCTAATAGTGACCATCCTGTGTCACTCCAGGTGGCTTCCATGTCATAATTTTGTTTTCCTGTAGAGAGCAAGTTATGTCTGACTTATGAATAAATGCTAAAAACCATAAAGTCCCCTGACATAGAATGAGGTAAGCTGAGGAATCAGCTAGAAGAGGAGCCTTGTGCCACAGGGACGGACAGACAGTGAATGTCTAGCTTAATGACATACACGAGCATTCATCTTTTACCTTCAACTAGAAACAAGGAGAACAAACATAACGTGTCTCCCTTTCCCCTGTAACTTGTTCAAGCAGATGTATTTTATAACCAATTATCAGGATTCAATAACTTGGGAGAGCAGTAGCTATGACACTGCTAAGTCTCCCTCATCCCCGCAACACACACACCCCACTCCTTGCAGCCAACCAATACATCAACCGTCTTTGAATTAGTGGTACCTGGGTCCTGTTTAAAATAATACTCCATTCCCTACACCAGGCTCAAAGTAAAATGGTTGTCAAGACGATTATTTTCTCTTTTCAACATATAACTGCATATGTGTGAGTTGAGGGTGTGGTTACTTTTGTCCGCCAATGCCCACTCCCCTTCTGCGGTGACTTCCTGTGAATAGTGGGTCTTGATTACACGGACGCTCTCCTGTCCAGCTGGCTATGGCAATACGCGGTGGGTATCATCTGTCTTTATTGCCAGCTGTGACATAGAACAGTTAGGGTAGGTTGATACTGCACCTGTGCAAATGAGACCATCATGTTTGTCGCAGTCCCTGTCATCACAGTCGCAGAATTCTCCCGAAATATACCATTCTTCGGCAGAACAAATGCACTTCCCACAGTGACAAGAACCTGAAATCACAAAGGGCACTACTTGCTGTCACCACTTAACTAAAGGCTTCCGTCTAGAACAGAATATCATCAGTGCAGCGACAACAGACTTCTAATAACCTATCCTCCAAAGGGAAAAGTTTATTGAATAGCCGGTCGCTCAGAGGGGAGCCTGACTTACTTACTGTAATTCGTAAAGGTTATCCAGGAAAGGCTTCATTATGGATCTAGACAGTTGCAATTAGCCTTGAGCAAATGTTCCATGGCCCAGCCTGGTTGAAATGTCAGTGAGAGCAGAATGTGGTTGATTCTTATAGATGGCCTTGCAAAAAAGGTATTCAAAAATAGATGGGTTTTTTTTTCTGAATTGAATCATGCTTTAAAGGTGCTTGTTTTTTAAAGGAATTGAATAGCAAGTTCTAATAAGAGGGGATGCATTTATTAATAAAAGAAATACTAAATTATTGTGCTTACAATTCTGGATTTTTGTTTACATGATTTTCTTAAAATACAGACACGTCTGTATATTGGGTAGCTCTTTTATTTATTTATTTTTTGCGATACGCGGGCCTCTCACTGTTGTGGCCTCTCCCGTTGCAGAGCACAGGCTCCGGACACGCAGGCTCAGCGGCCACGGCTCATGGGCCCAGCCGCTCCGCGGCATGTGGGATCTTCCCGGACCGGGGCACGAACCCGCGTCCCGTGCATCGGCAGGCGGACTCCCAACCACTGCGCCACCAGGGAAGCCCTTGGATAGCTCTTTAAAGTGCTAAAAATACACACATAATAACTCATGTATATTCCACTTATCAGATTTCATTCTCAGGATTTCCTGCCATAATCAAGGATAGCTCTAATCTCCCCAAAATGTTCATCTTTTATGAGGCTCTAGGTCCAACCACCTTTTCCATTACTTTACACATCCCCTCTTTTTATTTAATTAATGTCACTAAAAAATTCCTCTAGTTATTAAAAACATTTTGGTTTGCTGAGAAATAATTTTATTAATTATTTAAATATGTTTAAAAGAAGAGAAAATATATGGATTAAACGGTGTCACAAAGGGAAGAAAGCTCTCACAGTCTAAATGTCTTCATCTGACGGCCTATAAAACCCCACATGGCAAAGTTACATCTACAACCACAGTAAAGACACCTTTAAAATTTAAAGGAAAACACATAAAAAGGACTTTCCCTTCCTTCTATTTCCTTGGACGGGTTAGTCTTTCCAAACATGTTTTCCTTCTACTAAAAGACGCTATCACTAAATTGTTCTGGTCAAAAATCACCTTAAGAGATTGTGAAGTAGAAAAAAGTACTTTGACCTATCTAACAAAATTCCAGACTCGGTAAGTTCAAAATATAGTCGGAGAGGGGCAGGAATCAATCATTAGTGCCTCTAGGAAGCACAGTGCTTAAAAAATGAGTTAACAAACTGAGTGAGTAAAGTGGCTAGAGAAAAGGATTTCCTCACACCATGGACTCAGGAGAGGAGCTGTATAAGCGTATCTCAAGCGTTAAGCACTATGTGGTATTTCACACCATGGAAATGACTGTCTGCATTTTAGTGGCAAAAATCCCCAACGGCCAAGGTAAACCTTCCACATTCCGTGTCATGTGGAAAGTAAGGGGTCCTAGTCATGTGCTCAGCACTGGGTTTACCTTTGTTAAGTCCTTGCTTAAGCACAGCGTGACTTCATTTAGCCTTGACTTGCTTTCCTGAGGGTCTTGGTTGATTTACATTTTCTTGAGTAAAATCTAGACAACTTGCAGTTCTGGTGAGTGCCTGACAGCCTGATGGTTGCCTAGGAACCAGTGAGCGAGGCCTTCCGGCTCAGTCTGCGAGGAAGGCTGGCTCCCTCTCGGTCTCATTCAGGTACAGTGTTACCTTATTTTAGAAATTTATCCTAGTTTTAAAGATTTCTTTCAAATTTCTAGGCATGGAAAAGTGTTCACCATTCAACGGCTCATTTAGTAAATGGTTAGCAACATACCTGCAAAAAAAAAAAAAAAACCCAAAACCAAAAAAACAACTTGGGACATTTCATTGACTTTTCATTGAAATTTCCTCAGAAAGCATCATATTTCGTGCTTTATTTCCATGAGTAATTACTGGAAGAATTGGATTGTTTTCAGTTGTTTCTAAAATAGTATTTCCTTTGCATTCCAAAATTATTTCTACAAAGCAGCAGAAGTAAATGACTTTGTCCATGACAGTCACATCTTATGCCTAGGATATTTTTTTTGTATTTTGTCACAATTCATGAAAAGATCTCACATTTCATTTCTAAACTTAACCTCTGGCCTTGGAACTATTTTAATTACTGCTCTTGCTTCTGGAATGCTTAGCTTCAGTCTATAGCAAAGTATTTTCCTAAAACTGGTAAGCTCAGCTAAAGTTAATATGGTATCATGGAGAGACCATTTGACAAATAAATTCCAGTTCCAAAAGTCTACTAGTCACTGAAATACTTAAAGTGAAAAATGGGGACTGATTTTTGTATGTGCTATGAAAAAGTAGCTTTTCTCAGTCAGCGTTTTCCCCAGCTGTGTTGTTCTTTACTGTTTGTGCCTCTCAGAGGTAGGAAGTTCTTCTGCTTGTGAAACTAGGAATAGCATGTAATACTAACACATTGTGATCATTATTAGGACCTCTTATAGCAGCGCCTTGGTTGTAAAGTGCTCTGTTTTCGTCAGTAACTGGGGGTCAAACTGCCCATCTCTAGAAAGGGAAAAACTTAGGCAAAGAATTCTGTCAGTCAGGCACAGGCCACATGACTGCCAAGAGGGCAGCAATTGTTCAGCTCAGCTGGCCGGGCTCCACTCACACCCATGAGACCCAGTCCAGCTATAGGGAGAAGCTGGCTCATCTTGGCAGGATCTCTAGGGCAGTAAGTTCACAACCACAATATCACTGACCCATTTATTGTCTTTCTTAGTATAAGGACCCTAAAGAGTGCTCTGATCTCCCTTCTGTGCTTCTCACAGGCTTCCATTCCTCAGGAATCAGCCACATTTTCTCATTTGTCTTCAGAGCATCCTTAGGACACAAGAAGGGGAAAGAAATGAAATTCTTCTGCCTTCAAAGATGAGAAAATGAAAGTACATCAGTTAACCTAAGATTCCTATCTGATTCAATCTACTCTTGTACCTACCTACCTGTGATGCCTCTCTGAGGGGAAAAAAAAACAACTTTCATATAGTTTCAAAAAATGAGTTGTGTGTCCTACAGATCTGCCCCGACAGCCATATCAGGTGAGGCAACTAGAGCATGGAGTGAAGACTGGTTTTTGAACCATGACTTTCACCCTTTCTCTTTTCCAGAGATGGAGAACGGGTCGGGTGGAGGGGAGGGATAGGTGGTGGAGGTACCGTGGACTTAATCTGGACGATGCATTACTCGAGTATCAATGTAAGAGTGTAAGGGGTCATTGAGCGACATGCAGTTACAATCATTGTCACACAACAGCATCTTTAAGGATATCAGAGTGGATCACCTAGATCTGGGTTGAAGTTATCAGGGTAAGAAGGTTATTGTGTATTCTTGGATCCAAATAAATAAATCCCCAAACAAACAAACAGCCTATAAATTATATCACGTATTCCGCAAAGGTAGCTAAGTTTAGGGGAGACCTGGCTCTGAGATCATCTCTGGTTATTCCCGCAAACAACTGAGTATAAGGGCGAGGCACCTTTGTTAGCTGCCCCATTAACAGAGTCGGACTTTCTTTTTCGTCCATCAAGCCTGACAAAATGCTGCAACCCAACATCCCAGCAGGCAGATTTCACTATTGTACTAACTCTTCCATCTGTTATGAGGGTCACGACAATGTATACCTTGTTTTAAATTTTTCTATGGAGTGATTTATTGTCTTGGCTATAAATTTGTAAAGAAATAAAATGCTATTTCTTCATCGTCTCCTGAGGTGACAGCTTTATTCACAGCTCCTGGGGAGCACACATTTCAGCCTCGTTTTTTTCTGCTGGAAACACTCAGTCGGGTCTAGGCTGCTAAGTGCTGTGCCCTGGGGATCTCAGGCCCACTACTCACACCTGCCCCGTGATGGGAGAAAGAAAAAGACTCGATTCCCTTTGTGAAAATCGGGGTGAGGGGTTTTCATTTACAAATTTGAGGACAAAGTACATGGCATTCTGGCAAGTCCATGAGATGTATCCAGAAATACATGGCCCCAGTTTAAATAACTCAGAAGGGATTTCCTTCTCTGCCACCATGTTGAAGACCCTTAGCCTATGGCCCCAGTTTATATAACTTGGAAGGGATTTCATAGTCCAGCATGGATTCTTCCAGAATAGGAAGAAAAGAAAGGAGCCCACAGCCAGCTGCTGCCAACACTAGGCATGCCAGTATCATCACTGACAGCAATCTCAAAACGTACAGCCTCGAGGCAGGTTTTACATTTCCTTCCGAGTTTAAAACTCTCTACCCGTTGAAGGATAAAAAATAGTTTAGACAAATATGCTGTCAACTCTTCATTGATACATGGATATATTTCCCACCACCCAAAGCAAACAATTTGAAAAGGCATTAACTAGAGAGATTTTCTTGTTCTGTTTCATTTTGAGGAAATGCCTTTGGGCCAATATTTAGTCAACCTATTTTTTTTTTTTACATTTTCTACATTTATGAGGCTAAAAAATGAGTCACTCTCCTATGAATGTAATGACTTTAGTAAGAATGTTTATTTCTTGAAAAGGGACAACTCCTCCTTCGGAATTAAGTTCAGTTTGGGCAATGACAGAGTGCTATTCACTAGTCCAGTGAGCATGGTTTTGTGTTTTCTTCCAGTACCCGCAACTGGACATAACTTAGCCAAGACCTGCTTAGGGACACTGTTAATGATGTGATACTGTGTCTAGTAAACAGACACACACACAATTGCTGGTTTTTAAAATAAATATAAACAAGCACACAAATTTTTTAATATGAATGGGTTTCTTCATTCAGTAGAGTTTATACGAAAAGCTAATACCCTTATTCTAAGGATAATGCCATTATGGAAAACCAACTAAAAGTACCTAAACTTTGTGATATTGTGTTTGGACCTATGCTCAAAAAAATCCAATTCAGACAAATTAGTCATTCTCAGTACTCTTTTATACCCTCCATTCTGATCTGATAGCATTTTTTTCTTCTTTCCTATTTCATCCTTGAAGGTTAATTCCATCCCTACCTCCTTCCCTGTTTTCTTTATTAATCTCTTCCTCCTCAGTTCCTTCCCTTTGTCTTCCTTTTAACCTCTCTTTCCTCCTTTTTGTTTCTCCCAACAGAGCCTGAACCCAAAACAAAGTGTTTCCAGGAGCTGAGGCCCCCCTGAGAACCAAACTGGTACGAGATTTGTTCGGGACTTGGAATTAGATTGAATTTAACGGGAGAACAAACTGGGTACACAGTGATCGCTTTAAACTCGTTTGAGAGCCACCTGACTGCTGTAACTGCATTAGGTTGAGGGCATGGCCTCCTTGCCTGAACAATGAAAACACGAGCCTCAGATACAGGGTACAGGGTTCCTGGAAACGAAGAACATGGTTTTCTATTGAAATGATCATGCTTGTATCAATTTTCAGCCTTCCTCCCCGCACCCTATGTGGTCACATCATCCATCAGATTTTATCTTTGCAATTGTGTCAAGAAGCCCCCTTCAACCTGACAGCACCAGCCCTGAGAGAGAGGTGAAGCAACAGCCACTGTTTAGGGGCACATCTCCAAGGCACGTCCTGTTTCTGACGGCTCCTCCATTGGTATTAAGAGATTCCCTTTCTTCCCTGTGTCTTCTTCAGAAAGATATTTACCTGCTAATCCTGCCCCAGGGTAGGTGTTTCAAGGTAAGTGCAACTTCAGCTAGAGCCTTGCCCTGTCTGAAAGGGGAGGGGGGGGGCGCGGGGGGGCATCATCTGTTCTGCAAGGAGGCTAGTGAGCTGAAGAAGAGAGCTGGGAAGCTCCAGGACATCTAGTTCCCTGCAGGGCAGCTCCCGAAAATTTAGTGAGAATCCGTGCACTTCCAGAATCTTCCTAGGTGTTTTCCTAGCCACTAGCAAAGAGGAATGTGACAGGCTCCTAGATGGGCCCATAGGCACTGTGAGACCAGGATTTTAAAGTCTCTTGGAGAATTTATACAGAAGCATCAACATCAAAATAGCTAAAATTCAATCTATTAATTAGTATTCTTTCTCTGCTCAGGAAAAAAAACCCTGCTCTGCCCTTTTGGGGGTGGGGAAGGGGCACTGGTGGGGTGGCTTTTCTTCTAGAATCTGTTTCTGCAGTAAATGATTGAGTTAGTGACTCCTATTCAATCAACTTGAAGATTATAACCACTTCGAAGGTTTAATTTTTTTTCTTTATATTAGGTTACACATGTGTGATTGGAAAATTGGTGATTTTCAGACCAAAGAAAATTATACCAGAACTTTGGAACCCGTGTACTTTTTTTTTTTTTTTTTTTTTTGCGGTACGTGGGCCTCTCACTGTTGCGGCCTCTCCCATTGCGGAGCACAGGCTCCGGACGCGCAGGCTCAGCGGCCATGGCTCACGGGCCCAGCTGCTCCGTGGCATGTGGGATCTTCCCGGACCGGGGCTCGAACCCGTGTCCCCTGCATCGGCAGGCGGACTCTCAACCACTGTGCCACCAGGGAAGCCCAGACCCGAGTACTTTTTCCTTCCCTTTCTATGAAATGAAATATGTAGTCTCCTTTTATAGCCTCACATCCCTAACCTTCCCCTCCTCCACACACACACATCTACATATTTAGCCTCTGAAATTCCCAAAGCCTATTTGTTGGCAGTTTAGGCGCTTGTGATCACTTCTCTGCGGTTCTTGACTGCGCCATTTCGCAGGTGAACCCAACAATTATCCTTTTGCCTTTTTGGCCCATTCAGTGCCCAATCTATCTTGCTGGTTTTCTTCTTTATACAATCATCAATTCTTTTTATTCAGCAGTGATGCTGAACATAGCAAGTGCCCAGGGATCTTTTCACATGAAACCTGTCTCATGCATTTCATTTTCTCAGGCCCTGAACTTCATTTGGCAACTTTTTTTTTTTTAATTTTAAAAATTATTTTATTATCTCTGGCATTTTCATTTATAGTGGCATTTATTTAGATTCACACACGCAGAGGAGGTGTGTGCATGTGAGCTGTAGTCCCTGGAGCTTTAGATAAACCCATTTTTCTATCACGAATTCATTTACAACTAAAGAAAGCAGCACACAGGTATATTTGAGACTCTCCTTTTGATAATAATTTCCATTATCGTTTGAATGGGAGAAATTCCAAGCTTAAAGCCTGGTCCGGGCAGAGGACAGAGGGGTCTGCGTTCAGCAGAGCGCAGTCTGCAGAAGCTGGTTGTACGTGCTGCCGTATAAACCTCATGTCAGAACAGGGATTCTGTCCAAAGCTGCAGCGGACACTCACCCTTCCCCGAGCACAGAACGCCATCTGCCGATTCGCACAGACTCCTGCTCTGTTCCTCCGTCAGGTTACACTTCCGCGGATGCTGGCAGAGCTTCCCGAACCATCCTCGCCCACAAACGCAGCGACCGCAGGAACACGTGCCATGGCCTGCGAGGCAACCACAGGGTGGGGTGAGAGGAGTAGATGGGCAAAGAGCCAGCTGAGTCACAGTCTTTAGGAAAGAAATATGTAAACCAGAGTATCTCATTTCCTATCAAGCCAACACACTTTCTCCTTACGCACAGTTTGGCGTGTGAGTGTTTAAAAGAACTTCGCAACAGAGTTCTAGCTGAACACAATCCTCTTGAATGTCGCATCAGAGATGGATTCAAGAGAGAAAAGAAAGCTTGAAACAAGTTAAAGTGGATTGTGACCATCCTTTCTTGATACACAATACTTCCCCATTTGCATTTTTATCAGGATGGAGTCTTCAGGCTTTTCCTCACTGTGCACGCCCTGACACCCAGACCAATCTGCAAGGCTAGTCACGTCACCACTGCCTGCGCCATTTATTGATTACTCTCCTATCACTTACAAATAAAAACCAAAGGTTCACCTCCAGACAAATGGCATCTGGTATTATATTACTCTCTGTGTTCCTCTGCTTGCTAATAAGAACAGATATAAGTGTAAGTAATGGTGTCTCCCTATCGCTGTATAGAAGTTAAAAACAGCACGAGGCTTAGACTCATATCTTTTCCTCCCTTTTGTTTCTGTCATTGGCTCCTGGTTTGGGGATGTTTATCTTTGGTGTGTACGCAACATTATATCTGTGACACTTATACACTGGCATATACATCTGACTAGTCTCTGGCCACCAACACTCCATTCAATTGCATCCTCTTCCATGTTAATTTCTCTTTCTTCCCATCAACGCTCTATTCTTTTTCTATACGTGCATTACCTTACAGCCAGATCTCTCCAAAGAGAACAAACAAAACAGCTATTTGTTTGGCAAAATTTTACGAATTACTATGAACAGAGCATTTTTCTAGGCACCAGGGGATGCAAAATCAAATATGATGGGCATGGTGGTCCCTGCCTTACTTGCAGGGACATATCAAATCATCATTCAGACTGCTCAACCCCACTGCATCTTTTGAGACCATTCTGCCTTGACCATTTGCTCTGGCAGGATCTTCAATAGTAAATTTCTTCCATCTGCCTCTTCCTACACTCATTTCTGCACAAGGAGGGATTGGTGGCCAATATTTAATTGTTTGCAATTCATTGTTAAGATTAAAAAACCTAAGTACTCATGATCCAAGTGATATTTCTCTGTAACACGTGACCATCTGGAAGTGAAAGGAAAGCAAATGGGAGGCAAACTTAAAAGACACCTGGATTAACAGACCTATTTCTGCCAGCCTCTTCTTGTCCATATGCTGATTTATTGAACTGCATCTCACCACAGCCCTTTGAGTCAAGCATTATCACCCTTTTACAGTCAGGAAACTAAGGCTCGGAGAGATTAAGTAATTTTTCCTCAAATCACACAACTCAACCATACAGGATCAGAACCTGACTCCAGTTTTCTCTAATTTCAATGTCCCCTCGTTTTCCGCGTCACACTGACTGTATATTTCATTTTGGAATATAAACAATGACTATCAATCTGAGACATGTAGGAGCCTCTTCTTAATTCCTGTCTTTTCAAACTGCTGCATAGTATGAAGGTATACATTTGACGTTCGTGGGCACTTTCTTCTTAAGAAGTCTCTCCTATATTGGTTTTCATGACATTGGACTTTCCTGACCCTTTCAACCCTCCTCCTTCGTCTACTTATTCCTCTACTTTCTGTCTCACCCGATTAATGTAGGAATCCCCTGATTGTCTATCCTTAATCATCTTCTCTTATCTCTCTACCATCTCTCTCTTGAAAAATTCATCAAATCACAGGAATTCAGATAAGCACAATGATTACAGGGCTCTACCTCCAGCCCCTCCATCTCTCTGAAATTCCTCTCCCGTGATTCCATACTTCGTATTCTACTAGCATCAGAAATTGATACATCGAGACCTGCATGTATAATTTTCTTTCCAAAAGCTACTCTTCTGTATCACCCATCTCTTTTAACAGCCCAACTCTCCTTCTAGCCAACCAGTTCAAAATGATTCAGATCATACTTGACTCTCTCTCACTTCCCTCATCCAAAGAGCTGCCAGATCCTGTTGAAACAACCTCAAAATTTCCACTCCTATCACCACCAGAAACCTTTGAGAAACCTTCTATCACACGTTTCTCCAACATTCTCACTCTCGGCTTCCCGTAACATGACTCTACTCACATCACAGCCTTGAGATCTAGGGCCGCGTGACTCCCTGATGCTTACGGGATGAAGTTCACCTACTTTAACCTTCCGTATGTCTTAGGTTCCTGAAGTAGATTCCCAGCTGCTTCTCCAGCCTTACTTCTTCTCCCCTTCATACACTTCCTGACCCACTTATCTTTCCCGACATAGTTCCGGTGTTTTCCAGACTTCATGACTTTGGTGAGACAGGAATCCATGCCTTCTACTCTACACAACCAGATCCTGCTTAATTTTCAAAACTCAGGGAAAGTGACTACACCTCTGGAAGATTTTTCTAATATGCCCAAGTGGAATTCATCTTCCCCTCCTCTGAATTTCTATACTATCTTATTTTTCACCTCTTGTGTAACATTTCTGTCTTCTACCTCGTAATATGCAGTTATGTATCAGATAGACCCATTACTTGACTGAATTCTCTGATGGTAGGAATCACGTCTGATCCATCACTATAGTCTTCAGAGTGGTGCCAAGCACTGCCTTAGACATAGCAGATCCTCAAAAAACACTTACAGAGTAAGGTTACTTTTCAAGAAAATCCCCTTCTTATTTTTTCCCACAAATCCCAACTGACAACCATAAACTGAATACAGGACATGTTTACAGGTCATCTGGCTAATAAACTGTCCTTCAAAGTCAATGGACTGTTCTTAGATGGCTCTGTTTTATTTCTATGGCCTTAGAGTGGAATGAAGTTAGCAAATCTGTGTAAGAGTTACATACTCGATGAATCGTTATGAAACTGATTCTATCTTGACTTCTCCAATAAAACAAAAGTCCACTTAAAGTGAAACCTACTTAAGAAGTTCAAAACAAGTTATCCAAGTTATCCACCTTTGGAGGCAGATAATGTGTGATACAAAAGGAAGAAGGAGGAGGAGGAGGAAGAGAAAGAGAGCTTTTCAGCATCAATACCAGCCAGCTATGGGCTTTTCAAATGTTTATGCTTCTTACAAGCCCTGGGTTAGTAAGAATTACCATCATTTGACATAATTAGAATAATCTAATCTCTACGGCGGAGAAAGACATTCTGCCTTTGATTTAGGACCTCATTGAGAATGACTAAATGATGCCTCACCACAAGTAATTTTAGAGAGTTAAGTTGGCATCTAGCCCAGACAATGGTCAAAATGCACTGGTATTTAAATGTTTTGCTTTGATATTTACATGACTTCTCTTTACTTAAAAAATGTTTTTTAAAAGCTTTCAATAATATCTTCTTTATAAACTCTAATAATTTAGTCATCCACTCAAGAACTTTTTATTATGTACTAGGCATTTTACTAGCTCTACTCTCATGGGCTTATAGGCTACAAGGGGAGGGAGAAAACAAGTAACAACGAGGAAACAAATACACTTGAGCTATGGAAGAATTAAGGAGGGTGTTGGTAGATTCAGCAGAGAGAACATTATTAACTGGAGTGGCCAGCTCTCTGACACCCAGTGGCTGAGAAAGAGCCAGATAGCTAACGTTCTGGAAAAGCTAGTGAAGATCCTCGGAATAAGAAAGAGCTTCACATGTTACAGGCAGTGAAAAAAAGGCCAATGTATTCGAAGAGTAATGAGTAAGAATGAAAAAATAATAAAGTTGGAGAAATATTTAGGAATGAGAACATAGAAAATTACTTGTTCTTGGTAAGGCGTCTACATTTTATTCCAGGAGGAAGGGGAAATCATAGAAAGGTGTTATGCGAGAGAGGGATGTGTTATAATTTATAGTTTGCAAATTCATTTTGGCAACTGGGTGGGAGAAATTAAGGTGTGTTGGGAGGAAGTGAGGATGGGGAAAGTGAGAGAGTATTGCAGAGTCCAAGTGAAAGGTGATGCAGGCTTCAAGCAGGGTGGTGGCAGTGCAAATGGGGAGAAGTGGCTGGAGATCTACCTTGATGGGGGTACCCATGGAACTTGCTGCTGGATTGTACGTGGCAGGTGAGAGAAAGAAAGGACTAGTTTTCTGACTCAAGAAATCCTGTAAATAACGATGCTACCTAATAGATATGGAAGCTGCAGGAGGGAGAGGTTGAGGGCAGAAAATCAGTTCCATTTTGAACCTTGTGTGTCTGAGATACTCTTAAGACAACCAAGGAGAGGCCAAGTAAGCAGCTGACACAAACATGGCGTTTGAGGACAGGTTGGAGCTAGGTCTGGATGTGTTGGAGTTTCCAAAAGGAGATGGCATTTAAAGCTTTAGAAGTGAATGAGCCCACCTAGGGAGAAATAAGTCTTGAGAAACTCCAATATTTAGGGTAGGGTAGAGGGGAGAAGCCAGACAGACAAGCAGCGTCCTCCAGTCAAGAAGAAGAAAAATGAGATGACTGTGTTGTCTTGTAAGATGACAAGGAGCGTATTCCATAAAGGAGGCCTATTGAGTAGAATGGTCCTGAAAATTGGAGTTTAAAAAAAAAAGACCATAAAGGTCAGAAGAGTAGTTTCAGTCAACTTTTGCCAGACCAACCCTACTAAGTTGTCTCTTAGGCCTATGAGTGGAGCATCCAGGGGTAGCAGAACTGGGAGAATCATCTATATACACCGTTCAGTGAGAACATCTCTGCTTGGTGGTAGAGTCCACAGTGAGATCATCTGTGTATAATAAGTGTATGATAGATCATTCAAGAATGAACCTGTAGAGAGAACCAGCCTAAATGAATCATTTGAAGTCCACTAAATCTGCCTTCATGTAACTTCCCAACTCTTCATACAGGCGAGCAATTTTCCATTCAATTTTCATTTCCATTGCCATTCATCCTCTCCCAGATACTTACCTCCTGGCATCTGGCACTCCCCCCGAGCAACAGAAA